CCTGGGGCATAGCCCTTGCCCGCTAAGACTTCTGGGAAATAGGGGAAGGACCAAGTGGAGGAAGGAGACTTCAGGAAGTAGCCAGGCTTTGTAGACACAACCCCAGGCTGTTGAGCATCTGCCCTTTGGATCCATCGGTTTGCTATTTTCCTGGGACTAGTTGCTGTCCCCCTTCCCCAGCCCCCAGCTTGGTAACCCGCCAAACTGACAGAGAGCAGCAAGAGGTCCTTAGGAAACACAGAATGCAGTAATCAACGTCGCAAACACTGCCTTCTTCATTCCTTTTTGTACGTATGAAAAACAGGAGCCCAGCTCACTGCCCCCCTTTTTAAGTAGCTGCAGACAGAAATAAGCAGCAAGCGCTGGCGTATTCAGAAGGAGATCTTCCCACAAGGACAGTCTAGTGCTGCAGTCGAGTTACCAAGGACAAAGCACCTGAGAGGAGGCAAATCTTGAATTAGACTTCATATTTCCCAGAAGCCTCTTTGCTTGATCTTTCTGCCCCTCTCCTGTCTTCCACATCCTCGCACAACACAAGGCTTCGTGTAGCTGGAAGGAGAGGGACTTTTTAAACAGAGCCCTCGGGCATGACACCACCCCGCCTGCCCAGACAAGGTAAGAAAGTTACACACCTGTCACCAGACCAGAGTTGGTCTGTGTCGTGGAGTCAAACTAAGGGAGGAGTGGTTGAGTTGCTGAGCCAATTTTCAGTCCCTATTAGGTTCTCCAGACATTTTCTTTTTTTAAAAAAATATTTATTTATTTATATTTTACATACATTGGTGTTTTGCCGTGAGTGTTGGGTCTCCTGGAGCTAGAGTTACAGACAGTTGTGAGCTGCCATGTGGTTGCTGGGAATTGAACCCAGGTCCTCTGGAAGAGCAGACAGTGCTCTTAACCACTGAGCCATCTCCCCAGTCCCTCTCCAGACATTTTCATAGCCACATGAAAGGTATGACCCTGAAGCTAAATTCCGTTGGGATTTGCTAACATTTTGTATTGTGTAATACCAGTTTGAGAGATAGTTCTTTTATATTTTTTGAGACAGGGTCTCCATGTAGCTCTGGGTCACCTTGAACTTGGTACGTGGTCAAGAATGAATGACCTTGAGCTTTTGCTCCTGCTGTCTCCACCTTCCAAGTGTTTGGGTTCCATCCAGGTGTTCACCACCACGCCCGCCCAGTCTGTGCTGGACATGGAGCCCTTGACTCGTGCTGAGCAAGCACTAGGGCTGCAACACTCTTTAACCCCCCCCAAGTCAGCCCTCTTTTCAAGGGCACCCTTCAAGGTTGTCTGCTGACTTCATTTTGACAGTAATTTGCATATGTGTGACTTGTGTAGCCCGGTTGTTAAGAGCATTCCTTCTGAAGTTTTGAGGTAGGTGTTTTTTGCAGCGTGCTACCTAGTGAAAACTCTGGGTGAAGTTTATTAGCTTCAGACCAGGAGTTCTAGGATGCTGAGCCAATATTTTCAGTAGCAAGTCCTAGTGTAGTCATTAAATCCTGTCCCAAAGAGCAGCAGAGACCAGAAGGTAAACAGCCCAAACTCTTTGCCACTTAATTTTTATAATCTTGTGTCTGTATTTTTAAGAGGCAATAAATCCACTTACTGCTCATTCACATTAAAATGAAAATGTTCATAAAAGCTGTTTAATGCTTAAGAAGTCTTCATGAGCCTTTTAGAAAGAACCTTTTGACATCGGTCCATTTTCTGTTTGAAATGCAGAGCTGAGTTTTCGGGAGAATTAACTCTTGAGGGGCAAAATGGTTCAAGTAGGGCTGTCAGAAAAGCCATATTTGGAAATAAGAAAGAGTGTCCATAATTGCAGTATTGCTAAGGACCAGTCAAGTCAGTGAAGGGAGTGTGGTCTGGGACTTTGCAGCCTCTTAAATGTCCCAGCGTGGTCCAGGTACCCTGAAAGTTAGACTTGCCCCCAAAGCAAGTAGACTGCTGGTAGGGACTTCCTTTCTCTTTTAGCATGTGCTTAAACTTTTTTTAACCAACTTGGCCTCTTTGCTTTCTATGGCCATTTTCAGCTAACCTTTCATACCATTAATAAGCATCACACAGAATTATTAAACTTGAGGTATGTGTTTGGTTTTAAGGTCCTACCGGGATATTAGCCACCTCAGAGTCCAAATCCATGCCAGTGTTGGGTTCTGTATCCAGTGTAAAAACAGCCTTGAACAAGAAAACTCTGGAGGCAGAATTCAACAGCCCGTGTCCCCTAACACCTGAGCCAGGTGAAGGGCCCCGTAAATTGGAAGGATGCACGAATTCCAAGGTTACGTTTCAGTAAGTAACGATGCTCTTTATTAAGTAGAATGTAGACGAATCTGTCATGACTATAATATGTGTTTATTTGATCTGTTGCTCTTCAGAAAGACTTTGATATGGCCTTCCAAACCCCTTCCATCTCCTATGAGCCAGCTTCTGCTTCTAGGCTCCCAACCTGGTGATTTCCTTCCGCTCCAAAGTAAATACCACACCTACTGAATTGGCTATCCATTGGGTTCTCCTCCTACACAAAGAGGTGACCCGGCTGATGCTTCTGCGCCAGAAGACACCTGTCTTTAGGCTGTTACTCTCTGTGCCTCCTTGACCTGAAAAAGATACTGGATCTTTCCGACTCCTTTGCAGCCTGCGTTTGTATAGCCTTGGAAGGTGTGCCTTCATCCTGATCTTCCCGGAGACGGACTGTGCTGCATACAGGGTTATCTATAGAGACCAACCTCCAAGTGGCACTTTGTCAGGGTTAATCCTGCTATTGACCGTGTCGCAAACCAGTGTAGTAGAGGGATCAATTTGTTTTATAACAATGGCAGGCTCCATTTGAAATCAGTCTACACTTGCGCACTAATTCTCTTGCTAGGGTGTCAGCTAGATTGTCACTTAATGAAAAGGAAGAGGTGAGGCCAATCAGATCAGCCAAATCTTGTAATCACAGTTAATTAAACCTCTGATTTCCTGTTCTGTCAAGAGAGAAGGAGCCTCTCCTTTGTAGTTTTCGCTGTCTTAGCTTTAAAAGGTGAAACCTGGACAAATGAAGTTGAGATTCAATTTGGATCTATTTTTGCCAACTAGTATTTTCCTCCTCTCGTGCTCCTCTCTCCGTGGAGCCGTCGATCCCCCTTCTCCTTTGGAATGAATGGCCTTCTTTGCTGATTTACAGTCTTCCCTAATCTCATTGCGGCTTCTTAAAGCATGTCTTCTCACAGTCCTCTTGCCTTTCTTTGCCAGGAGCCGTGTGTACATCTCCCAGAAAGATGATCTGTATTCATTCTTTGCCTTTGCTATTAAGTTTGTTTAACACCTAATTTGACATCAGCAATCTGGCAGCATTTGAACCAATATCCAGACACAAAAGCAATTTGGCAGAGACAAGTTAGTCTCTGAGAAATGCTTCAGAACGGGTGTATAGATTTTTTTTCCCCCTTCACCATCTCGCACAGATAATCTTAATCAGAAAATACTGCTACTCCTTCCTCCTTTTGTGTCTGCCTTTTATTCTCCAAAAGTAAGTGGAAATTACATTTCCAAGAAAGGAAATGAAATAATTGCAGGCCCAGGGTCTGCAAAATGTGTGTTGAATTGACAGTGAAAAGGATCAGCGTGTTGACAGAGAGATGTTAGATGCCAGGAAGGCCAACGTGGAACTCAATTTATTTCTCATCTTGCTTGTTCAATGACTACTTAAGAGACACATTGCAACTTAATTTATCTACTTAAAGCACTAATCTAAGTATTGTGTGCGGCTGTATTAACTTTTAAACTCTGTAACCCGATGCTTCTGTCTTCCGTTCTTGGATTGTTTCGCTGAGATAACCAGTGCCATGTATTTTCATATTGACAGCCATTTAGTAAGAAGAGCGCTCTTTTCTGAAAACCCCTTGCTGCAGTCCAGCCGGACGAAGTGACTCTGAGAATTCTGTGGATACGTAGGCTAATTAATCACTTCCCCTCACTTACATTTAAACTTGGCTTTGAGATAACTGGCAGGCTTACCTGCAGGGTCTACAAGTGAAAATGTGTGTTTTCAGCCAGGAGAACTGCTGAGGAACCAGAGGGGTTATTTTCAGGGTTATGTGGGGCTATGACTAATAAGTTTATTCAGTTATACTCACCACTGTGGTGGTTGTAGCCACCTTGCCCTACCTCATAGACTTCGGCAAGTGCGACACTTGGGCAAGTGTGTGTTGGGTGGGCAGGGGAGCAGGTGCACATGCCATAGTGGGTTGTGGAGGTGAGAAGACAAGATGCACACCTTCCACCTTGTTTGATGCGGACTCTCTCGTTCACTGCTGTGTACACCAGGCTGGCTGGGCTGCAAATTTCAAGGGACTCTCCAATGTTTACCTTGCGTCAGCACAGAGTGCACATGACAGAGTCCAGCTTCCCAGAGGCTCTGATGATCCGAACTTGGGTTTGCAAGTTTATTCAACAAGCCTTTAACCCACCGATGCATCTACCCAGCCCTTCGCTGTTTTTAAATTGACTTCTAAGGCTACAATTCAGAGTCATGGCTTTCATTGTGATACTTTTCTACATATGCGTCATGTGCTTCTTCCTGTTAATTAAGAAGTTTTTGAGCTCTAGTAACTGTCCTCCTTCGTTTTGGTCGGGGACATCACCACCATGGTGTTTCCGGTGAGTGGCACTCTCAGCTCTTGACAGGAGTCAGGGTTCAGGGAGGATGTCAATCTTAGTGGCCTCTAATACATAACTTTACACAGACGCGCTCACTGCCCCACTGTAGCCCCTGATATCCTCCCCTCCCTTTCTTCCACTTAAGCCTTTTCGCCCAGGTTCCATTGTGCTTGCAGCCTGGTGCTCACACTGCCTGCTCTCCGGCCTTGTGCCTACACAACCCATTTTACCAAGAATGCCCTTCCCTGTTGTGTCCTTCAGGGCAAGGTCCTGGAAATCTGACTGGGGTAGTAAAGGATGCACAAAGGAAAGATACACAGGCAGAAAAGCTGGCATGGGGTGGGTGGTGTGAACTTTCATGGAGGGCAAAGCCTGGAACTCAGCTGTGTGTGGTTTATGCATGCAGCACAGGGGAGGGGTTGGCTAAGACCAATGGGAGGTCTCTGTAGACAGGAGTCTTAGGTGGTAAACACTTGGGAGGAGGAGGCTGCATAGGTTTTGATGAAGTTGATAGGTTTTGCACATAATTGCTAACATTCCCACTTAGAGAAAGGATTTACCACCCTCTGAGCTTCACCACAGGGGCAAGGTTCTGCCACTTTCCCGTGGGTCTGAGGCACTGGTCCTTGACATGGCTGTGGCCATAGCAACAGTATACATTCACTGCGTACTTCATTTTCCTTTACACTCAAGGCTTCCTCAGCTCCCTACCCTTTCCCCATGGGTACAAGGCTAGCGTACCCCTCACATCCTAAGTTTTTTCCTCAGGGATCAGCATTTCAAGGCAGTCTCCTTGACCACTACAGTCAGAGTTGTAGCCACACGTTCCCCTAAACCCTGATTTCCCACATTCTACTTCATTTTCCCCACAGCAGTTACTATGTTCTTTACCGTGTAGATTATTTCTCTCCCTCTGAGGAAAAGTAAACCATATGACTAGAGGATTTTTGTTTTTGTTTGTTTTATGTATTTGTAGTATTTCACACACCACGAATGGTGCCCGCCAGATGGTAGGCTCTCAATAAATAGATGGATGAAGAAGCATGTTCTTTAATTTTAATAAAAAGTGGTCAAATATCAGCTGACTAAAATAGCATATATCCAGCATTTCCATACCATGGCATACACAGGTCTGAACGTAAGACTTCCTTGTGGGTTGGATTCTTTAGTTCAAGAAAACATTTCCTAGAGTCCAAGAATTTATGTGCATTTAGCTCAGCGTTGCACATCACCACCATTGTAGCTGCTCAAGATTAAGTCATCAGACTCCACAATGCATGGGCTTAGCAGGAAGTTCTAGCTATGCTCGCCCAATTGGCTCAGCTGGGCTGGAGTGTTGGCTGACTTGCCAGTGGGTAAGTTAGAATGCAAAAGCAGAAGCCAAGGAATTTCTGCATAAGAAAACTGAAAACCTACAAGCCACCCCTGCAAAGTGTGATCAACATGTGTGGATTCAGACAGTTGAATAACCTGGATTAATGGCAGGTAGGCATTTCAATATTCCAGAAATAGAAGCAGAAGTTCAACAGTAAATATGAGATCCCCAAATATCTATTTGGGTAGCCTTGTCCTCCATCTTAATCCTGTGCAGGTATCCCACATAAGTTCAACAGTAAATATGAGATCCCCAAATGCCTATTTGGGTGGCCATGTCCTCCATCTTAATCCTGTGCAGGGTGTCCCAAACATTTTAATTCTGTTGTCACCAAAATGTATAAATTGGATGTTCTCAATAGATACATGTGCATTGAACTGGGAAAACATGGTTTCAGGAAAAGCCCATACCACTCCATCATGTGTATGCTTTAGTTAATATTTCCTTTGTCAATAGATATTCACACTAAAATAATACATATTGAGAGAAATGTGCCCCAACCTCAGTAGGCAGGATGTATGGAGACTATGGGTGATGAAACCATTTTTCCAGTTTGGGGGCTGAGGATTTAGGGATTTGCTTCTGTAATGTTTAGTCATTGATACTGTTTTCCACCAACATTCCTTAAGCCAGGTATTTTCATGTATTCTTTTATTCATCCCAAACCTATAGAATGGACATTATTTCCATTTTGTTCATGAAAAAACAGTGGCTCGATGAAGTAAGCAAATCGCCCAAAATCATGCTTCTGCTTAATAGTTATTAATAATTAATAACTTAACTCTAAATTCTGCAAAGCTCATGCCTTTCAAATCCTGATAGACCACACTCAGTGTACTAAGAGCTTAAGGAAGAGGGAGACTTACATGCGATGTTCCTTGGAGAGGGTAGCGTTTCTGCAGTTAAACTGCTCCTTGAAGCCTGCTCTCTGACCGGACACACTCATCAGCTCTTCTGTTTCATGTTGTCTTCCTAAGTCCATCCTGAGCAATGGGAAAGTGCTGGTGTTTCCCAGAAGCGCAAAGCATTCTGAAACAGCCACTCTGGCTAGCGAGTAGTCTTAATGAAGGATTGGGAAGAGATTGGTCTAATTTTTCCGTACCGCCAATAAAAGGGCATACTTCAAGGTGACCTTGGGAAATCAGCCTGTCACAATACCAGCTGTTTTAGTCTTTTGTTAGTTTCCTCTTTGGCGTGGATGCATGTGTGCATGCATGTATGCGTGCATGCATGCTTGTGTGCGTGCGTGCGTGCATGTGTGCTGGTGCATGTG